ATATATCTGTTTATGACATTGAAAATTAATTGAAGTGTATATTCTTATTTGAATATCTTTATATAAAATGTCTTAACAATAATTGAAATCGTTATGTATTCAGTAGTTTTATTAAGTGGATAATCTTCTCTCATATTCATATACCTAAAATGATTGGATAACTTAATTCAATTAAAAAATGATGACTTATGCATCCAAAAAGAGACTTTAATAAACTTATCACTACCCTGGTAATCTTTTTGTTTCTGTTTGTATGGTGTATTAGTTATATAATCAACTAGTCTATATCTCAAATAATAAGGAAAACAACAGGACAATTAAGTTATCTGTAAGTTATAGGATAATTTTAATTACACATTTCCGTCACCTGATCCTCTTAAATCATCTTAACTTTCCAAACCCTATTTAATTATTATTACGTAATCTACCTTATCATTATTTAATTCCATTAATCTCTACAATTATCACAAAATTTATGAACTTCACTGAATTATAAGACCACCTGTAGACTTTGTTCTATAGACTGAAATTAATTAGAAAATAATTGAAGAACAAGAAGTATTGGACATCTGTTTCGTCCTAGCATGAGGCTCATCGATAGTACATGTTTATTATCCCACCAGGGACAAACGCCACAACATTCAGGTTTCTGTAAGAACGCTCAACCTTAGTATTATTAGTTGGTATTCAATGGTTTACATTTCTAACGTCAATTTAACTCATGGTACTGCCACACAATCTCTTAGTACCATTGGTGGGTAACTATCTCATTCGTGAAATAGCCATAATCAACTGGTCATGATTTAACGTGAGAATATTACATAGTTTGGTCCATCTTTTTTCTGTTGTTATTACTAAATGAAACTATCACTAATAAAAAGGCTTATAATCCTTTAATTAATTCTGTTTCTATCATGTGTTTTTTATAGCACTTAACAAGTCTATTAATGACAACAAATTGTGTTAATCCTTTTCCATAAATTTTATATTAGTAAGCGTTATTGAAGTCGTCAACTTTTTTTATCCACATTTCTTCTTGAAAAAAATGTGATTGATTTTCGATACTTGTTGATATTGAACAAATATACACCAGCATCTGATATCACTCCATCCATACTTGGATGAAACATTAGATAAATAAAATTTGTTATATTTTGATTATCGTATACAGAGGATTTACTATAGGTAAGGTTATTCATTAGATACTTATCATTCTTTTGACCTGCCTTTGTTATATGAATAATGGGTTGCTTTGACTTTTATGGATGAAACTTTTTATATTATTTAATCATTATCTTTGATTTTAAAATAATATAGCTTGTAAGCTGCCGATGAAAACTTAACGAAATCAAGTGAATTCATAATACACTGCACCAATCTTTGTTTTTGCTCTCTTTAAGGTAATCAAGGGAACTATGTATATGAAATATTAAATCATTGTTGTCATTGACGTTTTAGTTAGAAAAAATATGATGTAAACTTAGACATTATTAATCAAAAATAAATGGTCATTGTGCTACGTTATGTCACGGTTAAATACTAACGATACAAAATCTTGGTCATTGCTTCAACTAACTTATAATTGAGTATATGTAAGCACTAAGCTATTGAACATTAACTTACCTTCTTGATTAGTTTAGTTCAAAATAGACAGTAAAAACTAGGGTACATATGTACATAAGTTACAACATTTGGTATAAATAAACTAGTTTCTGTGTGTAGTAAACGAGAACACAAGTGGGAACCATCGAATGTACTAGAATACAAAATTATAAGGAGTCAGTTTGATTAAAAAAGATCCAATGTTCTTCAAATTTATATAAAAATACATTTATTTTTGGATTTATTCAGAAGTATACCTTTAAAAAAAGTTTTAATCAAACCAAACAATGCTTTTATTATGCAAATGGATAGAAAAAGTCTTCGTAACCTTCTGCCTCCAGGCATCTTACTTTCGATCGCTGATACACACTACTTATATCTGTCGAAATCAGTAGAATCGAACTCGTTGTGTTATTTCAATGTTGAAATTAGGTTTCTAAAACGTAGAAAAGGTAACGTTTTACTAGTACCTACGAACAAAAATATAAAGTAATTGTATAAATTATAGTGACAGAATCGATGTTTAATAATTTCAAAGAAAATAACACTTTAAATCTACTCCACATAATAAATGAAATTTTTAGAAGAATTTATTATGTAAATATCTGTACTGATTTAGCTTGGTGTAGTAGTGCCAATATTTTGAATAGCTAGATTTAATGGTGTCCATTCTTTGTTCGTTTGGTCATCTCCTCCCAGTAAACAACAGGAATTAGTAGAGCTATAGAATTTTGCGAGGTGAGTATTTCCTCGGTTGACCATAGAAAATAATCTTCTGTATGCTGTCAATAATTAGTATATTATTAATACTAGTACTGGTAATAGTGTTTATCAGTAATCATTGATTACAGCACTACACTTTCCTTAAAATGTTTCACGCATTTGGATAATTACTCTTTTTTACATAACTGATACTTATAGGGCGAACATGCTGACAAAGATATTCATGAAGAAATTACAATTGTTCCCTTTAGAAGCTTGTATTTTCAAACTACCTAACCCAAAGCATATATTTGATACATAGAAATCAGTGGAGGGATGATGATGGATGGATGCAGTGAGACATTACCATCCAACTTACTAAAAATAAGTTTATTTATCAGCTTATATAGTTCGCCTTGTACATATAGACGAAAATATAGATTTATGGGAAATATACAGATGTAAGGGGTCATGATTGATTGTATACCAATACTTACAATGTAACCAATAAAGTTACAATTGTACATGAGAAATTCAAATAATTGTTTGTATCAGTCTGTTATATCCAGTAAGAATTAGGCTGTATTAGAAAGTGACCAAAATTAAGTATATGAACCTGTGGATTAAACATACAACATGATTTGATGTTCCAATAAACAAGATTAAGATTTTCTCTATTAGAAAACAATACAATTAAACAGAATTTTAAATGAACAATTAGTAATTATTCAAGTTTATTGTCATTCATGAAATTATTCTCTCTGGAAATTTAAACATTGACTTTTAAGTAGTTACAATAGATTTAATTATAAAAACTTATAACTATATTCAAATATCAGAAGGGGTTTTGTGGATATTATATTAATTTTAATAGTTGAAATCATGAGTCAATTGCAGCTAGACCACTATGGAAAACCTGGAAGCACTGGACGGCCATTTCGTCCAACTGCGGGACTCCTCAGTTAGCTCTGCCTGTTAGGTCCAGAACATCAATCTCAGCCACTGCTATATGAACCCAGGACCTGCCACTCTCAACATATGCTCAACATAGCATGACGGTCACCACGTCGTATTTCATAAAATATGAAACAACATTTGTACAGGATTTAGCCAAATGTGGCTGTGAATAAGGGAGATAGTAATCGGTAGACAGGGTCTAGCCCAAGAATGGTAAATCATATAATAATAGCTCGTAGATCAAAATAAAGCCTATGATAACAGGAACACGAATATGAATAGTTTAATCATTTGACAATCACACGTATAGTATTGGTCCATAAACGGGTCCCAAAAGTTACCATTGTGGATGTGTATTGCTGAGGAGTCCGACAATAGAACGAAACGGACTTTTAGTGTTTTGAAGTTTTCCATGGTTGTCTAGCATCAATTGACTCATGATCTCAACTATTACAAATTCCTAAAGTTGTTATTGAGTTATTCACAATCGTAAATAGTTTTAAATTAATTAATTAAATGAGTAAAAATAACAACTAGAATTTCACTGAAGATCGTTATTATGGGACCTTTTAATATTTAAAACGAACGACTTATTGTATGTTTCTGTTTAAAAACCAAGTTGTGGTTTGCATATATTTTTTTATATCTATTTCCCCTTAGATACTTTGCAGTAATTTGAACTTAAGGAATAAATTAAACTTAATTGACATGAACTATGCTCAGTATGTGATTTCATCCCAATTATTAAAGTGTGTGTACAATCAATATATAAATGAGTTTATTTTCGACTAGGGTCGTTGATTATCTTCAATATACTTTCCTTTCAGTAGCCTTCTGTCTTTTCATTATGACTTGGAAGGGTTCTAGCGTTCAAGCGCTTAAGTTATACGCGTCATATCAGAATATGAGCTTTAGATATTATATTAGCACCAATAATCTGATTTTGTGGAAATATCATTGAACCAAAACGTGCATATTGTATTTCAATCTCTTGTCCAATTAGTAATTGATAACAATAGCTAAAGTATATCAACAAAAATGGATTCCAACGACTTCACTTATTGGGGTAAACAAATGATTGATTTTATATCAAATTATTTACAAACTATACGTCAATATCCTGTTTTACCAAATGTGGAACCTGGTTATTTAAAATATTTAACAAATTTTTGGACTTTTCTAAGAAACCGTGTAGTGAACAATCAGATACATGGATGAATATATTTGACGATGTGAAAAAGTTTATTTTACCCGGTGTAAGTTTTAATCAATATCAATAGCAGTATATGTATATATTTAAGGATCAATTCTTTGATTTGTTGTTTTTTCCCCGATCTTCTTAACTTTCAGTTACCAGACATTTCACTTCAATAAAGTAATTCTGTTTTTAAAAAAAGAACATCATTAGAATATATATTGAATAGTGAAATTTCACTATTAGTATCTCAGATACTCTTAAGTGAATAGAAAATCTTATCATTGAGACGTGAAATTCAATATATGGTAAAGTATCAAAAATATGAAGGCTAGCCATGTGAATAAATAACCAAACAACAAATAGTAACCTGAGTGTCCTACATCAAGATTCGGTAGTTGCTGTATTAAATTATCCAAATTTTTTTGACATTAGTGAATAATTCTTTTCCAAATCTTTTGTAATTCCTTATAAAAGCTGACTCACTGGCAACATCCTCAATTTCATGCTTATTTTCCATTGGGAAGGGAATTTCATCCCAAGCATGGCTGATATGTTATCTACGGCACTAGGTTGTAATGGATTTTCATGGGTAAGAAGGTATTATGCGTTATGTTTTTTGAGTAAAAGTATAATATGATTTATCAATCTATTCACAAATATTTTCCTACATCGTTCCCTACATTTGCATTGTAATACTAATATATATTTTAAGTTAGTATAGATCATAAATATGTCAACGTTAAATAGCCACTGAAATCTATTGCTTATAACTACTCTGGGCAATTATTAATTCATACACTGTCTTAAATTTCGAAGCGAATTCTTATAGTTTGATCTAATAAAGTGATCTACATGAAAGCTAAAAACAGACTAATGAAGTTGTGTTGTAATGTTGTGTTAAAAGTTAAAACTGTGTTAATCCTAATAAAGGTGTCTAGAATTTCGGAAATTATAGATTTCCTCTTATTAAGGAGAACAAAAAAAACAGTAATAAAATAATTTATATTTTTGAGTGTTCGTTTCCCTTTTGCAAAATCTATTCAGAATAAATGAATGCTGTTAACTTATTGTTTGAAAGTAAACAATTTAACTAAACTATAACATCATAGATCATTCTTAATGGTAAACAAAAGTTAAATATACTTTAAAAATCACATCAGAACGCGGTAGGTAGATAAAACATCTATTAAACAAACAACCTGAAAGTTGTATGAATAGTTTAACACTAGAATAAGTTGGATTAGATCATATATAAGTAAATTATGTAAAATCCCACTAACTATTTCAATAAAACAATATAAAATATTTCAATGGTTGAGATTATGAGTCAGTTGAATCTAGACCACCGTGGAAAGCCAGGTTTTCCACGGTGGTCTAGATTCAACTGACTCATAATCTCAACCATTGAAACCACTATAGTATCCACAAAACTCATTCTGAAATAAAAAATGTTAATTCTGAAGACTTGGAGTTACAGTTCTTATTCACCTATTGCATACTAAATGAATCAAATGAATTAATAATGAATGAATTAGAGTCTTCTTTATTTTAAGTGGTTTGCTCCCATTTTATATTTTCTTTGAGGTTGCAAGCCCTGCAATTACAGAATTGGAAATCTTGATGTGTGACTGGATTGGAAAGCTTTTAAATCTGCCTGATACATTTTTGCATAGTAGCGGAATCGGTGGAGGTGTAATACAAGTAAGGTCAACAAATTATTACAATAAATTATTCAAGTTCATAAACCTTACCAGTAATTAAACTTGAAGCTTTGTCTATTCAGTCCTTTTTAATAAAATTTAGTATTAAGTGAATACAGATAGTTTAATGAACCATTCATTCATTCAAGAAAGTTCTCAGTTATTAGATTTCAGAAAGGGGTTTTTGTGACGATTATAGTAATTTAATAGATGAATGGATGAGTCGACCAAAGCTAGACCATCATGGAAAACCTGGAAGCACTGGACAAAGTTCTAGTGAGAAGCCATGACTAGTAGAGTTCAACCAAGGCTATTGTGAGGTAGTAACTCACTGAAGACAATGGTGGATGATGGCACAATTTCGTGGATTATTTGAAATTAAACATGAACACCGTTAGATGCCGGCTCAGTGGCCTAGAGTTTAAGCATTCGCGCGCGAGATCTTAGGTCCCATGTTCGAATCCTGCGGACGAGATCGTGGATGCGCACTGCCGAATATATACACCACTCGATAATGACAGAAGGGCTTCATGGTATCAAGATCTTTACAAGATCAAAAACTCCTGGATTCAAACTTGATAGACATTTAAGGTACGAACTGATAAGGGATCGTAAACTCAGTAATTCTATAGATTATATCACTTTGTGATTTTATGGCTTATTTTATAGCTTTAAAAATCTCCAATGAATCATCTAAAAATTTAAAGATCTATTCTTATTTTTGTGAAACGATCAGCATCTTCATTTTTCTTTGAGTTCTCTGATTCCTATCGTGATGAAAATGATCGTATTTCACTTGTAAATTATGTCTTCTTTCAGTACACTATTTATTATTATGAATCAGATGTAGTTGATGAGAATAAGTTAGCGATTTTTATAAGGCAGCTGTTTCGTTCTCTGACTGGGCTCCACATCAGTGGACATCTGAAAACCTACTGGGAATCGAACTCACTATCTTTGGGTTATGCTAGTTACGTAGAACTATCTTATAACTATTCTTCGACTCCGTTCTGAAAATCTGTTCTAAAAAGAGAAAAGTCGGAGGAATAGTTTAGGCGAAAATGGGAATTAATTAATCTACTAAGGGAGATCAGGTTAAATGAAATAGTGGCTAATCAAAAACAGTTTTATTTTTTAAAAAACTGCCTACTTGTGATTCAACAAAACGCAACACCTCAACTATATGTAATAAATCCTTCTACCTTCATCTTTCTGCTGAACAACATAAAATTACTTATTTTACACAGCAAAATCTACTTCTCTTCTTAACTGATCGGTGCAATCACTTTTCTCTTTTTAATACTTGTAGTCGTCGGCAAGTGATTGTATATTTGTATCGATGTTAGCTGCTCGTCATCAAGCAATTGAGCGTTATAAACATCTTTTAAAAATGATCAGTGATTTAGACCCTGAAATAATAGTTCTCTCCAAACTTGTGGCATATGCATCCACGTTAGTAAGTTTAACTTCTCATTCTCGTATACTTACTTTTATTGGAAGATATGGTGAAGTTGTGGTTTACTGATCAATCCTTTCTCCTTCGAACCCCTAAATACCTGGTTTGTAGATTTATGCACTTAGACTGGTACTAAATCTAATTTATGTGAGGGCTAGTGATTCTCTATGTTGCTGAAAGTGACGTACATGAAGCATGGTTCAGACCTGCGATGTATCAGTTGAAAGCTGAGAGTTTAAAGCTCTAAGCCACTCAATAGCAAGTATAGTTAAGTGGTTAAAGTTTAACTTGGTTATTGTTACAAATAGAAAAATGGAAGAACCACCTTCATTCTAGAATAGTCCTTTACTGTTTAAAATTTCTTGTATAAATAAAAGGGTAACTTCTCTCGTATTTACACAAACACAAAGTCAGTTGACTAGCGTTTTTGACACAAACTTTGTCAAAAAAATTATCTCAAGTATCTACTTAATTTCAAAACTATGTAAGACGCTAATTAGACGCATTCTGTAAATAACCATTTTGTCTTAAAGATAAGCTATTTGAAGCTTGTTCAGAGAATCCGAACAAAGCATTATTTATATTTTTCCTACGCAAAAATTTCGATAGATCTACATACACTGGTATTGTTTACCTTTAAATGGTCAACCGAAGAAGCTTTCTGAAAAATCTTTGACTGAAATAAAATCATAGGTGAGACTATAATTTTGAACGACGCTAAAGTGACCTTGAGAGTGTCCACCTATTAACAAGGACAAAATGAGGGTTATAAACCTGTGCGAGGAATTAGAATTATGGTTTAGAGTTGATGGTTAAGGTTAGGAATTAGATTTAGAGTTTTCATCACGAACTAACATCAGCTATAATGCTAAAACTCTATTTGGCCAAATGAACGAATGAATTTCGCTCAAAAACCCGACACCTGTTATCTTATATCTGATTGGTTTGTCCATAAATTATAGTCTCACTGAATTGTTTCTTCGGTAGAAAATGTTTTACTTGCCATAATTTCAAATCTTCATTAAAAATTTAAATCATGTTCGTTAACTTACACATTTTTTCATGGTTTATAGGCTCATTCAGCTGTAGAAAAGGCTAGTGTGCTTGGTTTTGTAAAGTTACGACGTTTACCGGTCGACGAAAACTTTAGTGTTCGGGGTGAAACTTTACAACGTGTTATTAAAGTAAGATAAGTATTTTATTTATAGGAAATCTTCACTTCTTACTCCTCATTATAACGGAAAGCATATTTTTTTATAATTATATAGTTATTCAGTTTTACAGACTAATAACTCAGTAGTGAAGAAAAGGAGCTCTCTGAGAGACCAGTAGTTCATGTCCTTAATTCTGTGTTGGCTAGTATATACACAATGTTAAAGGATCCGAAATTAAAACGAAACAGGCGTCTAATAGTTTTTATTTTTCAATGGTTTTTCAGATGATTCTTACACTTGATGGAAGCTATCTATATACTAAATAACATCTCCATAGAACAATCTTACTTACATACCTACATACATAAATACTTATTTACTTACGTCTGTTATCCATCGTGATGCATAGATCATCGATTATGAATCCCTAACTAACTCTGCGCTGCCTTTGCATTTCCACATTTTGCCAGATATCATTCATTATTTTGATATCTGACTCAAATTCTTTGCGTAGTGTGTTCTTTGATGTGCATCTTTTCCTTCTACCTTGAGGATTCCAAAGTAGGACTTGCTTTGTGATTCAGTTTTTGATGTATGTCTATCCACCTCGAGCATTTTTTCCCATTTTCCTCCCCAGTTAGAAGTTGGTCTGTTCACTGTCAAAGTAGGCTGTTGATCATAGTATCCGGCCAACGGATTTGAAGTATCTTGCATAGACAAATGTTTATAGATATATGTACCCTACTGATGACGGTTGTAGTAGTTCTCCAAGTTCCAGTTCTGTATAGTAGACTTGTTTCGACGTTTATGTTGAAGATTCTGACTTTGTTGTTGACTGAAAGTTGTTTGAAATTCCAGATATTCGTCAGTTGTAGATATGCTGCACTTATTTTGACAAACAGCACCTTCACATCTGCACCAGGTCATCCCTGTCTATCAAGATACTTGGAAGTTTCCACTTCTTCTCTACCAATTGTGATTCGGTTGGTGCTCACTATGATGTGTTCTCCTTGTGTGTACTGATGCCTACTGCTGCCGAGGCTGCTGCTAAGCTAGGTGTCTTCACCTACATTTGTTGTTGTGTGTAGGATCGAAGAAATATGTCATTATGAAGTTTAAATCGTCTAGTTGTATGTAAGTTGCTTATTGTACTCCATTCTTTCTCCGAGTTGTGGAGGTCTTCATAATCCAGTTAATCACCAGGAGAAACAAAATTAGCTATAGCATAATTCATTGTTACCATTTTGTTGACCATGTTTAAATGACAGTCAAATCGATGTTCCGAAACATCTATCCGCTTTGTGGTTTGTTTAAAAAAACATCATATCATCGCACCCTTCTGTGTTAAAAGTATAGTAGTAATGTTCCATTGTTAATATTCGGTCAGAAGGGGCAAGAAATATAGCTATTGAGAATAAGTGCTAATTCAAAAGAACTAGTGATCTCATCTGTTGTTTCAAATTACAAGTGCCTAATGATGCTTTCATCAGTTTGTGTCCCACGTTTTTCATGATATCTTAGTCTAACAAATATTTGTTTCGAAATTATCAACGCCAAATTCTTTTATTTATCATCTTGTTTTCAGGAAGACAAGTCTATGGGACTTATTCCATTCTATGTAAGTTAGTAATTTTTTGGCTTCACTTATTAACCTTTTATTTATGTACTGCTTTCTATTCCTTTGCTTCATTTTATATCAAATACAATCGTATTTCAACGATTTCAAGTTACTATCACTCCATCATATGCAGATTTTACTTATTACAATGTTTCATCTCTTCATTTATATTTTGATACTAGCATCCCAATTCGCAAATAGACATCTGATCATGTTTATTAGTTGACTTCCATTTCTTCGTTTTAAAGTATCTACTTAGTTGTCAGTATGCAACTAAGTATATTTTTTCGTTCTTATATAGCCTAGCAGAAATCAAAGTAATCTAGTGGATTAAATGTAGGTTCCAAAACTGGTTTCTGTGATATTATGCGTTTTCATGGCTATGGATAAACAGATTAACAAATCCTTATCGTGCATCAGTTTATGTGAACAAATAATGTAAATTCTGATTTTTACATTTCTAGTAGGTAGTCGTCATTCAGAAATAAGAATGGATTTACTGAGATTTTAGAAGGCTTGTCCAGAATGCGTCGAGTATTGTCTAACTAATGTGACCCGGAAGCAATCTAGTATTTCATGGATAAAATAGAAAGATCAATCTATGTAACTATCAACGAGATTAAGGCACTGATTAAACATTTTTAATCACCATATAACCCAAATAACTTCAATATTTAAAGTGTAAACCAATTCTCATTGCGCATAGTGCGAGATAGTTGTAAAATTCAGACTTTTCCCTAAGGATATCATCCAAAGATGAATGGAATCATATTAAAAATTAATTATGGAAAGAAGTGGAATTAAATACTGGATATTTATTGTGTTTTTAGACTAAGTTTCATTACTAAAATTGGTCTAGCTTCATTTCACTCATGAATTCAACTATTAAACTACAAATAGATAAATTAATTTTAAAAAAAAAATGATAAACTAAGTGTAAAATTAAAAAAGAAGATTCTGAAGTTATGATTCTTATTGTAATTAAATAAGGTGGTCTTTCACTTTAAAAGAATAATGTTAGGCAATGTGGTATATTTTAGACTTGTTATTAAAATCTAGCAACCATATAGTAAATGCTTAATTTGAAAAATGTCCCTCAATTGTCTCAAAATGACTCAGACTTCATTGTCCTTGTATTTTCATAGAAACTATATTCTGTTTCCATTCTTTACTGTCTCTCCTCTGCTCTTACATATTTTTGAGTTGTAGAGTTCTGGCATAAGTAGTCAGATTTAAAGAAGATTTACTTATTTGCATATCTGAGCAGTATATCACTACATGGCTTTGATAACACTTAGTAGATCTCTTTAGTACTAAATTTCCTATAATTTTCTTGTTATTTAACTGGATTTATATCTTATCAGGTCGTATTCTTGATGTATGATCTTTTTATTACTGTTATTATCTCTAGTAATGTGGTATTAGCTCTGAAAATTTTGTCTCGCTATGCTAATAGGGTATGGCAACTTGCACTGATGTAGGCAAGTTCCAGGGTTAATTCAGAAAATAATTTTCGAACAGGACCTAATCACATCTCCTCAGACTGTTTATTTTAATTGCTTGTTGCATCAAAACCATTAAATGAATCAGTCCTAACTTGGATGTATAATGATGAAAAAGTAGATATAAACTACTCCTGTTTCCTTCACCATAAGCACTGTCCTTCCGTAAAAGATAAATAAACATCTGAAGTATCAAAATGACTGTTTGTACAATGAAGTGTTTGATCGGAATATAGTTTTACGAAGCAACACGCCCTGATGGAAAACACATTAGGACAGTAAAGTTTGAAAATTGCGCCACCGTTTTCTGAATAACTTCTATAATGATGTTTTTATGATGTATAGTAAAAAATATTGTTCTGAAAAGAAAAGAAAACAAATGATGGAATACGATGCTTAACATTTTAGGATGCTTGAGTTCACCCGTTCTACGTCTTTCATAAACTGACTTACTAGTTACAATATATTGTTAGCGAGAAAAAGTGATCTTAGACTGACACCTTAGTCTTCCTATGAAAGTGTTATTCAAAAATTTATATTACTAATTCTAATGACTAAAAATAAAGTACGGATTATAATTTACCTTAATGTACATCCACTGTAAACATCTTCACCAAATCTAATAGGTTCTACTAAATGACCTCTTCCTTGTAGAATTGTCCCACATGAACCACCAGCAAGAATATTCCAAACTCCATTACTTAGTTGCTGCTTTACACCTTTGATAGACAACTTCATATTTGATGTAGGCAGTCTCCAATAAATTTCATTTAAAGCATCTTTTACTGAATCTGTTACTAAACGTTACTATCTGATAAATGAGAAAAATTCGAATTATTGGACGACCAATCAAATAGCCCGGATTTCCACTCATTGGTAAAGCGTCGGATGCATTTGTCTACAAGTAATTATGAAATAATAAAGTTATTTAATGTTCGTAACCATTGCCTAAATTGATAATTGATATTCCATGGTATTCACAATTGATTGATCACTGGGTGGTGCTTGTATAGTCCTTATTAGTACAGATAGAATGCTATCGATCACTTTGCAATGTGGCCACCAGTCTAGGTGACTCGACACTGCGGAACCGTTGATCCAGAATTTTCATTTATATTTGCAAATTACTTCATACAAGTTAGAAACCGGTCGTCTATTATTACATTTTTAAGAGGTATTAGTGAGGTAAATTCTGATATTTAATTTAAGTTCTCTTCATTGATTGTTACCGGATGTTCATTATTCATAAAAAAAACCCTTAAATCATAAACTCTATTACCCTGATAATGAGCGAGAACACAAGAATTGGTTTCTATCAGCTATTTACCCAACTAATTATTGTTTCCTTTTCTTTTTAGGCCCAGGGATATTTAAATTCTAATTGGGGAATAAATATTTTTATCAGAAAGTTAAGTACAGTTTAATGAATTGTTTAATTTGTTTTTTCAAATCATGTAACTAACCTGGACAAATTCAACTTCATATTTTTGTGTAAATGTTCCAGTTACGCTACCAATTAAAGCATGAACTTCAAACTGGCTAACTGTACCAATTACTTCATATGTCATTTTCAAATACACCTTTAGAGGTAAATAAAACACCATTTAATTAGTTTACGGCATTCCATACTTTATACTGAATGGATATAGTTTCAATGATATTGATGTGAACGAAAACTCAGGTGAGTGAGACCATTTTATTTTTTAGTGCAAAATCACAGAGTACCAGCTTTAAATCTGAATGTCATCTAACACCATTCACTATTTACATTTTTATTTTCCTTTGCTTAATTTTATTCCAGCTCATTCGTTTAAATCTTAACTAATTCCCTTTCCTCTCCTCTTCGATTCAATCATCTGCTGCAGGCGTTCCACTTCTCATTGGTGTTACATACCACTTATGTCTGTCAACGTAAGTATAATACACCATAATATTAGTCTAAAACTGTTTTACACCATGGACTGATGTCAACTGAGTAGTCATTAAAAGTTACGTAACACTGAACCATCAGAATACACTAATAGTCAACTTTTTACAATTTAAAATCTTTCGTGAAATATCATGAACATAATTCACTGCCACAGGTAAGCATTCAGCTTCAACAATCACTTGGTTAGCGTCATTATTGTGACATGCTTTAGTTATTACGAGATTTGGTTATGAGAAATACTTTTTATCTTTTTCATCAGGATGTTTGGTCCATCAACATCAATCCAAACAAGTGGATGCTAGTCAGTCATGATTGCAGTCTTATGTGGTTAGTTTGACTGACGTTTAATTTTAAGAAAACTACGACTGGATATGAAAAATTTCAAGTACCTAACCCAAATATATTACAACTATCCTAACTGGTACAAACTAATCCACAAATGAGAAGGTGGAGAAGATTTGTAACTCGGGTGGATGATTTTGGTGGAGTTTTGTTCTCTGAGCTGGATGGTTTGGTCGTGGAGCTTTCATCGTTCTTCTGAACGACATCATCAGCACAAACTTCAGATAGAAGTGAAGTGTTCGAATTTCTCCATATGTGTTTCACAGCTTGTTCTGTGCAACTCGATGTTGATTGGTTCTTGTTGACCTTAAATTTATCATTGTTTACTTCTTTGTTTTGGTTGTGTCTCCCATTGTTTTGATTTTTGTTCTTATGTTTGTGCATGATTTTTCTGATTGGTTGATAAATTGGATTGATTTCAATATGCTTGTTGATTGCTGATTGACCTGAGTGCCAAGCTTCTAAAAATTCTCTGGTGTTTTTGGAGTTTCCTCTGTCTAAGATTTCCACATTTTTCCAATCGAATGAGTGTCCGCAGTTGTCCACATGTATTGATATAAGTGAAGAGATATCATGCCGTTTGACTGCTAATTGATGTTCATGTAGGTGAAGGTGAAGGGGGTGACTGCTTATCAGTACATTTTAGCGAAGTGTGCTTGGCTGGGAAATGATGTTTGATTTGTTTTCCTTTGTTATTTCATCTTTTGCTTTGCATAAGATTGATTGTAGTGATTTTGTCGGTTTGTGTGCCACACCTATTCCGAAGGTTTTCAGCAGTCTCGTCGCGGTTTCTGATATTCCTTGTATATATGGTAGGGTGATCCTTTTGTTGATTTTTGTGCTTGACTTGAGTTCTGATGGCCTCAAAATTCAATTGAATTTCACTGTTATGAAGTTGGTTGGGTAGCCGTTCTTTTGAAATATGTCCTTCAGGTATTTCTCTTCATTTCTTCGTGCTGCCAGTGTGCTGCAGTGTGTCCTCGCCCTCTTGAACAAATTGTGTACGCAGTTGATTTTGTGAGCTCTGGGGTTGTTGCTATTGTAGTTGAGAATTTGATCCGTACTTATTGGTATGTGTCCTGGCGTACCGATATGTGTTTTGATACTAAGTTTACAAGGTGAAAATTATAGGCCATTAGGTGATAGGGTGAGAATTGATTTACTTTAAAATTTGATGCATTCTCCTAAGTGAACTGTTGGGACGATCAGTGGGAACCATTCAATCCTTTTTCTGT